GCAGCGGAATAGCGTAACGCGGAACGAGAGTAGAACCAATCACGAGATTCTCTAGAAACACGGAATTCTCGTTATTGATTCTGCTCTCATTCCGCGTTACGCTATTCCGCTGCATGGGTTTGCACCCTAAAGGAGCCCACAGAGCGGCGCAGCGGTGAAGCGGCGAGCGATGGCCAATGAGAGCCATGCTTTTACGCAAAATCATGGCTCTCATTGGCTATCGCTCGCCGCTTCACCGCTGCGCCGCTCTAGTCAGTAGGCTCCATGATAAGACTGTGTGAGCGCATAGAAAGAGACAGAAAACGAGATGTCCCTATCGTCACCCTTGTTCAATCGCTGTCACTCCCCACATTAAACAAGGATAAAGATAGGGACATCCTATTTGCTTTCTCTTTCTATCACCTAACATTTCCGTATGTACATACATTGGAGTTGCTATGGCTTTGCCACTCTAGTTATATAATCTCTTTGATATGAACATACGACCGTTCGTCGGATTCGGAACACTTTTCAGTTTAGTTACGGAACTGCCAATATCTAGGAAAAAAATAAGCTAAACTAAAGCGGGGAACACAGACTTTTGCATAACGCATAAAGCATGTGCATAAGGAATTTCATTGGTCCATTTTCTTATGCATGAGTCAATGGACCAATCAAATTCTTTATGTATATGGTTTATGCGTTATGCAAAAGCAGGAAGTAAAGCGGGGAGCACAGACTTTTGCTTAACGCATAAACCATATACCAGGGAATGGAAAGTTACTTTTTAAAAGTAACTAGTTACAGTTACTCGTTACCGAGTAAAAAATGTAACTAGTTACAGTTACAGTTATCGTTTTTTAAAAGTAACTCGTTACAGTTACCGTTATTTGAAAAATAACTTTTCGTTACTTTTCCGTTACTTTTTTAAAATCAATTTAAAAATGTACTTTTGCATTTTTTTTTTTTTATATGTAATACTGACAAATATATAATTTTATTTAAAAAAAAAAACAATGTAGTATGGCTCAAATAATAAATTAAATAAAAGTAAAATGAGAAGGGTTACGAGCCAAAAATGAAACAGTTTATTTCTGATAAGAACGACGATGACAATGTAATTAAATGTATAAATATATATTAGATTTAGAACAATAACATGGATAAAACAAGATAAAAACAAACGACGTTTCGACACTTATTGTCATCGTCTTTTAAACTGTTTCGCTTTTGGGTTCGTAGCCCTACTCATTTTACTATTATTTAATTTACTTTTTAATTTTTTTTAAACACAATTTTGTAATTCTAAAACCTGTAAAATATGCAGCAAACTGAAATATTTGTATGTCCTATGTATTACATAGAAGATAGAAGTGTAAAATAATTACTGAATCAT